TATTTCTTTCGGCTGCTAGAATGTATTAATTTATGTGCAAACCGGACCAAACCAACAACTGCAGTCTAATGAATCCTGGTAGTCGCATTTTCCGTTACCAACTATGAAAGGTGTACATGCATGGTTTGAAAAGGCCCCTTTAGTTTCAAATTAGAACAGATCTCATGTTACACTACGATGTTTATATCCATCTAAAATAGGTTCTTACCCAGGAACTGCCCGCCTGTATTCTAAAAGCTCACTAACACTCAAACTCATTGAGTGGGAGATCTTAATCTTCTCATAACGTTTCAATGGCGGTATTTCCAGCCGAACAGGGGCTTGATTTTCAGTGATTTACCTTATATCTTTCCATCTGTTCAGAAAAAAACTTTCTCATTGATCAGCATTAACGAAATTTATATGTCACACTCGATGAGTATGAGTGTGAGTGAGCTTTTTGAATACAGGCGTAAGTCTCTTCTAGTTCACGTCCAATCATCATGAATTTCTCAATAACTCACAGTTCTTTGCTTTAGTTCTCTATTTGTGCAAAACCATCTCATAATGATGTTCAATTACTGTAGAGAGTTAAAATTTCAGATCAATTGAGAGATTGGAAGTGTACGATGAAAAAATAGGCTTAGCTTTTCTAACTTAGGTGTAATTATAAGGTGTCAGAGCAGATCATGCGTAATTGAATTCAAACTTCACGAAGGAATTACTGCTTGAAACTTTGCACAACTATTTGTATCACAAAAATTCTACACAGTTAAAATTTCAGCTCAATTGAGCGATTGGAAGTAGGCGATGAAAGAATAGGCTCAGCTTTTCTAACTTAGGGGTGTAATTAATATAGGGTGTCAGAGCAGATCATGCGTGCTTGAATTCTAACTTCACGAAGGAATTACTGCTTGAAACTTTGCACAATTATTCGTATCACAAAAATTCTGCACAGTTAAAATTTCAGCTCAATTGAGAGAATGGAAGTGCGCGATGAAAGAATAGGCTCAGCTTTTCTAACTTAGGGGTGTAATTAATATAGGGTGTCAGAGCAGATCATGCGTGCTTGAATTATAACTTCACGAAGGAATTACTGTTTGAAACTTTGCACAATTATTCGTATCACAGAAGATGATACACAGTTAAAATTTCAGATCAATTGAGAGATTGGAAGTGTACGATGAAAAAATAGGCTTAGCTTTTCTAACTTAAGTGTAATTATAGGGTGTCAGAGCAGATCATGCGTGATTGAATTCAAACTTCACGAAGGAATTACTGCTTGAAACTTTGCACAACTATTTGTATCACAAAAAATTCTGAACAGTTAAAATTTCAGCTCAATTGAGAGAATGGAAGTGCGCGATGAAAGAATAGGCTCAGCTTTTCTAACTTAGGGGTGTAATTAATATAGGGTGTCAGAGCAGATCATGCGTGCTTGAATTATAACTTCACGAAGGAATTACTGTTTGAAACTTTGCACAATTATTCGTATCACAGAAGATGATACACAGTTAAAATTTCAGATCAATTGAGAGATTGGAAGTGTACGATGAAAAAATAGGCTTAGCTTTTCTAACTTAAGTGTAATTATAGGGTGTCAGAGCAGATCATGCGTGATTGAATTCAAACTTCACGAAGGAATTACTGCTTGAAACTTTGCACAACTATTTGTATCACAAAAAATTCTGCACAGTTAAAATTTCAGCTCAATTGAGAGAATGGAAGTGCGCGATGAAAGAATAGGCTCAGCTTTTCTAACTTAGGGGTGTAATTAATATAGGGTGTCAGAGCAGATCATGCGTGCTTGAATTATAACTTCACGAAGGAATTACTGCTTGAAACTTTGCACAACTATTTGTATCACAAAAAATTATACACAGTTAAAATTTCAGATCAATTGAGAGAATGGAAGTGCGCGATGAAAAAAATAGGCTTAGCTTTTCTAACTTAGGTGCAATTATAGGGTGTCAGAGCAGATCATGCGTGATTGAACTCAAACTTCACGAAGTAATTATTGTTTGAAACTTTGCACATCTATTCTTATCACCAAAAATGATACACAGTTGAATCAACATAATAATTACTTCAAATTTAATTATAATAACTTGTAGGTACACCACGTAAGTATTAAATACTGCAAAGCTTTCGGTCCGTTAACCCGGACCTTCATCAGTGCAATTACTTGAATACACGTTTGCGCGTCACTTAAATATCATGTTAGTCGTGATTAGTTTGCTCGCGCTATTAATTAAACGGTTTCATTTAATTAAGTTCTAATTAATGCGCGCGCCCTAGACAAGTATTTGACGGTTAACGGACCGAAAGCTTTGCAGTATTTAATACTTACGTGGTGTACCTACAAGTTATTATAATTACTAAAGTCGCCATGCAATCATACAAGAAAATTATTACTTCAAATTTCTTAATTAATTTAACTTGTAGGTACCCCACGTAAGTATTTAACACTGCATTAAACTTGCTGTATTTTAAAAATACTTAGGTGGTGCACTTACACAAGCTAATTTAATTATTGATGTCACCAAGCAAACATACAAGAATATTATTCAAATTTCTTATTTAAAAAAACAACAGAGCTATATTCACCAACAAGAGACTATCACTTCAAACACAGTGAATTTTGAGCAATGAGGATGCAGGAAAAATCAATAGTCACCTGGAAATTTATACTAAAGCGTAATATGCGAGGGACAAATTATTTCAATTGTTTTAATAATTTAATTTAATATTTGTTGTTATATAATTTTTTAATTTTTCTTTTAATAAATTAAAACATGCATGTTTCCACACATTAGACGGAGACTATGCTTGTGCACTAAAAATAAATCAGATTGTATAGACAAGATATATAATTAAAAAACCTATTATGTACATCAAACATCATGCAAAATGATACAGAGAGCTTTGCATTTATTTAGAAATCCATTTCAGATTCATCTTCAACCTCGTCATCTGAACTGTCTAAAATTGACAATATCTCATCGTCCTGTTCTTCACTCTGTTCCCTTTGGTCATCTAGTTGATCCAAGTTCTCGAAAACGTGTTTGGTAGAGGGCATGGTGCTTTCATGACTCCATTCGATTTTTGGAATGGACGATGATACATTATCTGGTAGGTGATTGCCAAACGTTGCACCAAGAACAATTAGTTTGTTTTCCTCTTCCAGAATCTTTCTTTGAAGTATGCACCGAATTCCTCGAATGAGTACGGTTGATGACGAGTCATTGTTGTCCTTCAGCCATTCTAAAAAACTTGACTTTTGGGTTTGGTGATACGTAACAAGCCTACACATTTCAGTTTTCAAATAACTTGTTTCCTCCTTGCATCTTTCGATGAAATTATGCAAATCTATTGCGCTTTTCTTCACAGAATATGGAACTTGATCCTCACTCAAAGTGCTTTCTCTGAAATCCTTATATAGGTCGGATTCTGGATCTTTTACCTTGTCAAACTCTAGCTCTTCTGGCAACCCAGTTACATTGTCTTTCCAAGCAGCAAGGCTAGCGTTGTACTTTTCAACAACTACTTTAGCAGAATTCGTCCTTTGTGTTATCTGCTTAGAAACTTTCTCTGCAATTGCTTGGCCGTCTATTAATCGATAAAAAAACACAAACGAATGAGTCATGTCAAACTTAGAGTGGGAATTCCCATTTTAAATTAAAGCTCATCATTACAAATGAAAGTAATGTCGATTCATAGGATACGGCACACCGTGAATAAACATGTTGAAAACTTAAAACAGTTTTACCATTGCAGTATTAGCATACGAACTTCAACTTCCATTATAACATATGACTACTAAAGGGGTCGTACGCGTCTACGCGACGCAAGCCTTTTTAATGTTTACATTATTTTGTTTTGCCTTCATTTTGAATAAAAGGCAGTTTATATTGAATCACTAGTCCGCTTAATTGATAATTATATGGTGCCAACCTAAACTAAACAACCAAGCATAATTCTTGGATCATCAAACGATCACAATTTGAGTTATAGCAAAAAAAAAATACCTGCATATTTTCGCTTCAAATTTAATAAGAACATACGTTCGACTGCAAGTGAGTATAATTTTTCTAATGCTTGGTTTCGCCTATCCCGAAGAACAGACAATGCTGCCACGTTGAATTTCTCCTCGCCCATTCTCCATCTTGGGTGAACCTTGTAGCTTTTTTCAATTCCCATGACAATTTTTAAAATCCTGAAGTTACATAAAGGTATATATGACTTTTAACACCAAAAACAATTCTATTCGGTCGCTAGTTCCAATACTTACGCTTTCTTCCTCTTTACAAGCTCGTTTATGGTTTCATGATTTTCAGCTTCTGTTGAAGCAATGCCTTGTCTGTAGCATACCATTATAAGTATTAGAAAATATTTTGTTAATTAAAAATAAATGAACAATCAGCCAGGAAATGCACAAAATATATCATTATCAGTCTAACCTCAGTTCCTGCAAGAAAACTAAGTTCTGTACGTATTTAGCCTCCCACGACATGGGCGATGGTTTTCTCTCTACAACATCAACAGTTTATGATAATATTACACATCTTGTTACAAATGAACACGGTATTTCCTTACGTTATAATTGGTACATACTGCCTCTCATTAACAACATATTCTCTTCTGCTTTCATCCAAGAGTTAATTACATCAGTACCATAGGAAACTGAAATTGAAAGACTTTTCTATTATAACGTAATTCGACCTATGACAGCACTATGATACTAACACTTACATTGAAATTTTCCGCATATACAAAAGCCTCATCCAATAACTGTTTAATACTATCAAATGTTAGATAAGATGTTCTACCTTTTAAATCTGAAAAGATCTCCTCCAACTGTACTACTGAGTTTTCCATTAGTTTCTTTGTTTTTTGCATTTTAGACAACAATGCCGGACCTGTGGGGAAAAATCAAGCATTGAATTACAAATATATAGTCGCAAAAAAATTACCAATACTGTAATGATATTGGTGGCATAAATCCACCAAGGCAGAAATATTCAACTAGCCAAACTGTAGAAGACATGTCTTGCATGGTGAAGAAGCGCATCTGTTAATACGTCAACCCTTCGACCAGCTGTCATTTCCTTTGTCATTGATGAAAATCCTCTGAGGTAAGACCAAAGTCTTTCAATTCCTTCACCGTCAGTAAGGCCAAATCCCTCCTTTCTTCTAGGACCAAAAGCAACCTACATTTCGGGAAATTCTGAGATAAATAACAACATGCGACATACTGCATTACTGCACCTAAGAATGACAATTAAATTTTTGATAACAAAACCGACAACTTCTAAACCATATATTGACCTGGCAAGAAGATTTATGTCCATATGCATGGAAAACAGGAATTGCCAAGTCAATGCGTCCAAGAATGGTATGCTCTTCGTTTTTCTATCAAAAATAAAAATATATGCAAATGGATATTGAAATTCATATATAATAAATATTCAATACATGTAAAATTGCACATGAGATTACATCTCCAAATGACAGAACTTTACTTCTTCTTAGAATTTAAACTGTAATCAGGCAGCTATGCCTATACCTTACCTTTAGGTGGGCAGACAAAGTACATGCAATGTCATACATTATTTTAACATCAGTATCCTCATCATAATGACACAGAAGCTTTTTAACCTCATACACTGAATATGCTATCCTAAAATATACAGTATGTTGCACTAAATTACTATCAACATGTACACTTGCACTTTAATTTGATGACTGTTTGCTCACCTTTCTCCATGTTTGATACTCATAAATCCCCTTGGGTATTCATGTCTGCATACTCTACCAAACACTCCCTTCTCGTCAAAAAGCTTATTTCTTCCTTTGATCGTAACATGTTACTAACCTCACCAGATTTAAATTCATTGCAATCCTAGGAAAAACAGTGGATTCTTCTATAATATGATAATATTCAACAAAACTACTTTTTACAGTACAATCACCAGTAACCACTTACAGTAGGGGCTTGCTTTGCCTTCTTTGAGTTGTCATCAACAAAGCTATCGACATCATCCTGATTGGCAAAAAAATGTACCATTGTGTCTGGCAGGTAAAAGATTCGCACCAGCAGACTTTTTTCTCACAAGCCCAAAACATCCATCCATGCACTCAATGGCAACATTCTTGTCAGTATCAGTTTCACTCTACAAAATTATCACAATATGTTAAATACAAAAAGGAGAATGTGACATAAAAGAAAAAATACCTGTGGAGTTCTATACCTGCAAAGGACATAACGGGCAAACATTGTCAGGTTTTTGTTGCAAGACAAATTGTTTCATTGTTTTGAACAAATGTTGGTGATATCTACATAAATAAAAATATTATTGTTGGTATTGTAAATATATATATATATATATATTATATATATATATATATATATATATATATATATATATATATATATATATATATAGAATTGAAGTTTAAAATTTATCATAAAAAGTTGCAAAAACAATAAAATAAAATATTTGACAGAACAGTACTGTGTCATGCAGTTAACCAAAATACGCCCCTACCTAAATTCATCAAAAGAATCATCATTCAATATTTTATAGAGATTCTTAACCTTAGAAAACCAAAAAAATATATAATGTATGAATAAATTTATTTATCTATGGTATATAATTAAAGTGTACCATATATGACATAACATTGATTATTTTATAACACAAAAGAAATCTTTAATATGTTTCACATGTATATATAACTTATTTTCTAGTTTCTCACTTCATTTCATGGTTTGCTAACGAGACATTCCAATTTGTGTGATATGTAAATAAGTGTATATTTGCACGTCCACTAATTATGAAATTTTAAACTTCGCTCGGAACATGAGTATCTGCACTCTGTAGACTTTATAGTTACTGTATACTAGTTAGCTGGCAACCAAACTAACATCATAATTAGTAGGCAAATATAATTTAATGTCTTATATATCAAACAAATTGAAATATCTCATTAAAGCTGGAATCAATAATATGTAATAAATTATAGTTATTTTCTTTATCTATTTAATGCCCATGGCATGACTCTAGTATTTTACTCTGGCTAACCCTATATGATTTTACTTGTCCAATGGAGATTCCAAGCATCAAAGTGTTAATAAAACAGTCAAGTTATTGTCATTTAGAGCATTTAGAGTTTATATAGTTAATCCCATGTCATTTTCACACAGATAAATATTACACAGTATATAATATTTATACTTGGTATGCAGTATGCTATATTATTATTATATTTTAATCAAGAATTGTCTATTTAGAAAATATAAAACATAAAGTATTTGGAAAGGTTAGGTGTCAAGAATTTGTTCTGAATGATGTTGAAATAGCATGGAATTACTCAGCTTCAAATGTATAACAAAATAACATACCCAAACAGGAAGCATATTGGACTTATTGAGGCCCAACACATCACAAAATTTCTTTAACGATACATGGCATTCCAATAGAAGTGTCTCAGCAAGTGTAACCAACTTAAAATGAAATGCAACCTGAGGTCTAACAGCTGATCCTGGCCATAATTGGAACTTTACAAGCTAAGTGTAACTGCAGCATCTTCACAGTTACAAAAGTTGATCCATTTCAAGTGTTGATGCCCTAATAAAAATGCACCAAAGGAGAAACTTACAGAACTTTTCTCACAATTATTTTAGGACTGAAAACAAACTTGAATACAGTTATCAAATCCACAGTACCAATAAACCCACCTTTTTCATCAATACAAATAATGTTTTGTGCTTGTGCAGTTGGACAATTTCTTTGGTGATCAAGAGTCAAAACACCATGATTAACAAATAAAGGAACAAAACAACCATCCTGAGAAAATAAGCAACATTAATTTTTAAACAGTTGGGTCTGGGGTAGGGTCAGTTCTGAATATGTAATATACATATAAAAGATATTGAAATATGTTATATTTTACGCCAAAAACATCACACGCACCTTGAAAATTTCAAGTAGGTGAAAGACGTTGCGTTGTTCGTGGATAGTTTTCGCGCAGTTGATGCAAAACAACTGTCTAGGACCACAATCCACGCAGCGACAAACAGCGAAGTTGTTATGGCACTCGATGCACATTATACTTTCGTCACAAAAAGCTTCTTCCTCAATGCGTGCTTGCAAAAGAGACCCCCTCACATCTTCCCAACTGTGATACTCTTTTACCCGGCGCAAGTGATATCGTGAAAGACTAGAAAAAGCTTGGTCATCACTTTCATGGCTGCTATTTATATCGTCGATATTTGAACCATCAACATGTTCTTCTTCCATTCCCGTTGTGAAAGACTTCTGCTTACTCGAACTTGACTCCTGAGAAATCTTGCAATAGTTCTTTGAATTTAAACGCACATGTCTTGTAGTTTTTTTTCCCTTTGTTGACTGCGTATTAACGCGAATTTTGCATGCCTTAAAACGCTTGCAAGAATCCGCCATTTTGGCGAACTTCTATTTAGAATTTATAATACGCAATAATAACAAATAGCTCGTTCCCAGTACAGCAAACAGCGAACGTGTTAGATGGCTCAGATGATCATCCCATGTCACATATATCCGATGTTCTAAAACTTAGAATTCTCATTATATGTGATTTAGAACACGCGGAACGGGTGGTTCCAAAAGGTGCTGAGAGTACGATAGACGGTTTTTGAACAAACAAATAGCTGTGCTGCAATTTCGTCGATGATTCTTTCGTAGAACAGTCGTTGATAAACCATTCTCCTGCTTAAATCATCCGAATATGGTCTTGGCATTTTCTAATCGTTCACCTTGCTATACTCGAACTCGCAATTAACACGCTTGTACAATCCCACGCGTGTTGATGCATAATAATGTCACGTGATCGATATATACATATACTTGCTCAGGACAACCTTTTTGACAACGACAGTATATATATATATATACATATATATATATATATATATATATATATATATATATATATATATATATATATATATATATATAAATATATATATATATATATATATATATATATATATATATATATATATATATATATATATATATATATATATATATATATATATATATATATATATATATACATATATATACATATTGTACCGGGAAATAAAAAATGTATATAAACATTTTTGTATATATATATATATATATATATATATATATATATATATATATATATATATATATATATATTTATATATATATATATATATATATATATATATATATATATATATATATATATATATATATATATAAAATGTGACTTTGTTCTTAAAATATTATATTAATCATTTCAATAAATAGTGTACTACACTTATACTGTAATAATTAGGAGGAAGTCTAAATACTTACTAATACTTTCAAATTATGCTGATGTTCATCTTTGTGAATACAGAGAAAATTTGATTGGAAACATTTGCATTGTTTTTTTTTATGGTTGAACACAAGGAAATGTAATGTAATACATAATCCTAGCACATTTCTTTCAAGTGAAAAAAACGTAACAAAGCCACCTTAACTGCATTCGCAACTACCAAAGTAATTGTGCCACTAATTATTGTTCTCACAGCAACTCCTTATAAATAAAAATATCTAGGCTTTTCCATTATATCAATAATATTGTTAATACAGGTGCTTCTTCAAACAATATCCTTCGCAAACGAATATTCTTTTTCTTGTTTTACTTTCCTTTTTTCTTTTGTTTCCACTGGAAAAACTTCGGAAGGTAATTTCTGACCTCCGAACAGAAGTGCTTTGGCTACTACGTTGGCTGCATTGTGGGAATAATTGACGAAGTGCTTGCCCAACTGGCATTGCTGAGGATGAAATTTGAAGTGATTCTTCGTTGTTAACACGATTATTTTGTGCCAGAGACGATGCCGCAGTTTGACTGCTGGACGCTGAAGCTATTGAAGCTAAAATTCTACTTACTGCGGCATTTGAAATATCTCGATTATTGCCTGCCATATTTACATAAACGCAAGGCTTTCGCATGACTACAATAACATTAGCAGACTGGTGCGAAGACTGGTGCGAAGTTGGGTCATGTCGCAGTCACTGTATCGCAGTGCACAGAAGCTTTCATCTAATTAGTCCTACGGACCAAAAATTTAGTCTTACTGGCGGGTTTTTGGCCTTACGCGCAGGAAGTCGTACGGAAGTGTTATAGGCGACATATTTAGAAATGGTGCCATGAAGTCTTATACGCCGGAAGTAGAAGTCTTATACCAACAAGCGTGTGATGTTTTAAACGCGTGCATTTTGTTTGATATTAAGAATTTTCTACTTTGTATTGAATTGTTCTCTAGATTCAATGGCTCATCTCTACGCTGATTTTTGTATAAATATTTTACAATTAAAACACGACATGCACAAAGTAAAAAAACCCTCTCGTACAAAATTTCAGTAAAAAAGTTATTTCCCCTTGTGGGTTCGTTTTCACTACGCAAGCGCCATACTTAACAAATTTAACTTCCTTATACTAAATATATCACTTCTCACACACTCCGTTGGTCAACAATCCTAACCCAAAACAGTCATATAACTCAATAATATCAATTAATAAATTGTTACAAAGTTCGATCTTAGTTCACATATCTTCAATCTTTAAAGGTCCTTGATCCATTTCATTGATCGATTTCGATCGCTGCCGCTTTTCTGTGTCTCGCTCTCTTCAATTCTGGGTTGTCGCGCGCCTTGGCTTCGATTGGCGAGCGACTCACTTCCTTTTACTGTAGACCTGATTTCCAAGGGATAAAGTCGCTGTACTGGTCGTTTTATAATGGTTGACCTTCCCTTCTTTGACAACACCCTCACTGCAGCTCCTCTTGTCTGTTCATCAACTCCAGAGATTAAACGTTCGATCCTTCCTAGTCTCCAAAATCCCCTGGGGCGTGATTCTTTGTGGACTACCACAATATCCCCTGGACCGTCTCATTCCCATCCTGTTTCTCGACTCGATGAGATTCTCGTAACTCTAGCTAGCAAGTACTCATTTTTCCTTCTCACCCAGAAATGATTCATAACATTGCTTAAATGTCTCATCCTTCGTGCCAAATCACTGGCATCTAAGTTGATACCAAAATCTGGATCCTTCTCGTCGTAGTTAAGTTCTGGCAAACTCAATAATCTTCGTCCCATTACCAGATGAGCCGGCGTGAGCGGCTTTTCGACGTCCTCTGTGGAGATAGAGGACGTGAATTGAGAATCATTTCGACTTCAGCCTTTGCCGTAAGGAGTTCCTCGTACGTGAGTTTTGCCGTTCCCAGGGTTTTCTTAAGGCATCTCTTCGTTGATTTGACTAGTCTCTCAAAGAAACCTCCCCACCATGGGGCCTTTTCCAAATTGGAATGCCATGTTATGCGTTTTCCAGCAACGAAATTTTTACCTCAGGATGAGTTAAAATGCTTGTATTTTCCTTCGCTGTGGGCTTAAATGTGCTACCATTGTAGTTGATGGTATTCCTCTCCGGGCGGTAAATCTTCTGAAGCTTTTCATGCAATGTTCGTTGCATTTCCCTCATCCACAGAGCGTAGGCTTCATCCATTTCCTTTGCACTTAAACTATCACCTTCGTTGGTGCTACCTTTCTTGCGTTTCACTGCTTTCAAAAATCGTAGAACGTAGGCTGTAACATGAAGGAGCCGTTGCAGAGATCCAAATCGTTCACACTGTATTATCTCGTTGAGAACATGGGCAGAACTGCTCGCCGTAAGGGTTGATAAACTTGGTGGTTTCGTTACCTTTGCATCAGCTAAACACCCTTCCGGTGGTACACATTGCTTGTCACCATCTTCAAATTGTTCAGCATTAGTTTGACTTAGCGAATCTGGACCGCTGCTCCATAGTATGCTCTTTGCTTGCTCCGATGGGTTTCTTCCTCTTGAAGGTATATCGGCAGGGTTATCCTTTCTTTGGCAGTGACGCCAAGACTTAGGTTTTACTAAACTACGAATTTCCACTGCTCGATTCTGTTAACAGTTCTGATCACTAAATGCGCCACCGCGGCGTATGTCATCTTTGATGCATCGCAAAAACCATGGATGGTGGTGGAAATCACATCCTCGCCTATATTATGGAAATAGCAACGGGGAAGGAGGATTCGGTTCATATCCTGTAGCTCTGCTACCAGCTTCTCCAATCTGCTTCTGATTGGATATGGGATCTCATCATCCCAACCAACCTTGCTCTCACATAGCTCTTGGAACATGTGCTTAATTTGGACCGTTATTGGCGACATATGTCCCAATGGATCGTAGAATTTTAAATCGAATGATATTTCGCTTGGTAGGTTCGCAGGTTTTGGCAGCTTCAGCTATACTAGTTAAGTCAAAAACGAGTTCATCCTCAACGAAGTTCCAATTTACACCAACGACTCGTTGTTCACTTTGAGAGGTTGTAGTCTCAGCACCAAGCGTGATCCTTGCATAGGTCTCATCTTCATCGACAACGTTGGGTTGCCCAGAGTTGTTGCTTGCACTAATTTCTTTTTTCAGCTTGCTGGATGACATAGATTCGCTCCGTTCAATCTTCTCCATCAACCCTGGCGAGTTAGTAACAAACTTTCGTAAATTGAAACCCCCTTCCGCTAGCCGATGCTTTGCCTTCTTATACAACATGTAAACAGACTCATCATTCCCTCCACCAGAATTCAGATCGTCGACGTAAATGGCTCTCAAGAACGCCTCCACAAATTCGGGATCTTCGCTCCGGTACCGTTCAATGTGGTGTCTTATGGTAGCGTTGAGTAAAAACGGACTTGATGATACCCCAAACACAACCCCATAAATCTTCGAACCATAAGAACCTGAGGACGTTTCGATCTGCCTTTGCCACTGCTACCATAAGAAATGCCTTCTCAATGCCCCCAGCTAATGCGCCTCTGTGGCTCCGGAATCGTAGAATGAAGTCCAAGATGTTCTGTGTCATTGCAGAACCGGTGTACAAACAATCATTCAGGGATGGACCACTCGTCTTTGCTTAAGAATCATACACTATTCTTAGCCTTGTGGTTTGCTTGTCTCTCCGTATCACCGCATGAAGTAGCGCAGGTAGTAGGGCAGGTAATGGACCTCTCCTATCTCGTCAACATCCTCCTCATCAATGATTTCTACCACACCCTGATTTAAGTGATCTTTGATTACAGCGTCATATTCCTTAAGTACTTCTGGGTTCTTTTTGTAATCGTTGTAGTAAGCTCATTAATCGTCGGCGACTCATCTCAAAATTATCTGGTAAGATTTGTTGCTGTTCCCTCCAGGGAAGATTTACTTCATACTGCCGTCCTTGAATACGACGGTGCTCTCGAATTCGTCGTGAACCGACTTTTCTTGCTTCAATATGCACGGTGTTTCTAAGTCCCAGAAATCTCTCAGATCCTTTTCAATTCCTTGACGTCGGGTTTGAGTAGGGGACGTTGCACATCTTAGGACATGTGTAGTGGCTAAGGTTGCAGTGTGTTTGGAGATTGGCATCTACTCATTATCGACTGGACGAGAGAGAACCCATCCCAATCTAGTATTAACTGCTGTGGGACAACTTTCTCCCCCTCTAACCTCCCTTGTCACGAGGTCCCAATACTGGTCGCATCCGATGAGAACATCGACTTCCAAGTTGGCCATTCCAGTCGCACAATCAGCCAATTCTAGGTCTCGCAAATGATCATAACTTTGTTGGGCTTGAGAAGTGACCTAATTTTGTAGAGGTTCGCATATCGTTGGTACCACATAGGCGGACAGACATATCTCATCTTGGTCATACTGCACTTTTAATACAAACCTTACTGAATCACAGGTTTGAATTCTTTCCTCCTTTGAACCAAATGTTTTTATTGACATCGGTTCTGTTTCCTCTAGGCAAATTCAGCTGATTTCTTACTCGATTTGATATAATTATATAAGCGCTGGCTGGCGCTATCTAGAATGACTCTTACTTTTGCACTGCCCCTTGTTGCATCTTCTTGTGTAATGGTTGCTTGACCTGTCTGTATAGATGGACAGGTGTCTTGGAGCTCACAAACAGATTTGTTCCATTGGTTTGTTGTTTGGGTGGATTAGTCCCCGATCCCGGGTTTGGTTGAGCTTGTACTCCTTGGTCTTTTTGGGTATCCTTCTGATCGTTCATAGAGTAATCAGTCTTTCGCTCATTGTTATCTTTTGTTCAGATTTCGTTTTAGAGTTGCAATCTCGACACAAGCTGTAACATTTGAAACAGTTTGACCACTGTTAGAGGTATAATGACCTTGGCAATAGGTACAAGTACTTGTTGAGCACCCCGTATGTAAGACTGCACCAGCATAGGCAGCCCAGACATGTTTTTGTTCTCGTGGCGCTTGCGCGTGTACACGAGTCTACTTGGTCTATTATTATGACAAGGTTAGCAAGTATTTTTACTAAAATATACTACAACGTTTGCTACGGCCTGAATATCTTGCAAATTACAAATAAAAATAATATAGAAATTACATCGGTTTAAACGCCGGTATTTTGACTACATTCTCCCGACGTTTTAACTTAATAATAATAATATAAAAAGTATTTCTATAGCGCACAACCAAATTGTGTTCTGTTCTAGGCGCTTTACAGTAAAATCTAATATTAAAACTATTAAAATATCTAAATCATTAACAAACCTAATAATATAAATGTTAAGACCAACGTCATACATTATTCAAAAATAAGTTAAAAAGATATGTTTTAAGATTTTTTTTAAAAACAGTAATTGATTTGCACATTCGAAGATTAATGGGTAATTCGTTCCACAATCGTGGTCCCGCGACACAAAATGATCTATCCCCAAATGTTTTCAGTCTAGAACAGGGAATCTGGAGCAATTCACAGTTATTTGATCGAAGTGAACGCTGCGAAGTATGATAATGCAAGAGTTCCTTCAAATACGGTGGAGCAAGGTCGTTCATAGCCTTATACACATGAAGGATAATTTTGAATTGGACACGATATTGGACTGGTAGCCAATGCAATTCAATAAGTACTGGTGTAATATGTTCCGATTTCCTAGTACGAGTTAATAGACGTGCTGCAGTATTTTGGACTTTCTGTAGCCTCTGGAGTAAATATTTTGATACACCATATGGCAGTGAGTTACAGTAATCCAATCTTGAAGTTATAAAAGCATGAATGATTATTTCAAGACAGTCCCGAGACAAATACTTCTTTATTCTTGAAATGTTTCTGATATTGTAAAAAGATGACTTGCAGATACCATTAATATGTTCCTCCAATTTAAAGAACTCATCAAAAATAACCCCCAAATTTCTAGCTGAACCAGTTGGTACAATTCTGTCATCACCCACCATGATATAATTCAAGGGAGGCATAGGGCGATAGCGTGAATGGACTAATATAAGTTCTGTTTTTTCACTATTTAGTTTCAATTTATTCAGCATCAACCAGTTTCTAATTTCAAATATACATTTTTCCATACGAATCTTAGATGAAATCAATTCACCAGGATCATTTGTTTTGAATGCAATGTAAAGTTGTCCATCATCAGCAAAAAAGTGAAAACGGAGATCATGACGCCTAGCCACATCTGCAAGCGGGGCAGTGTACAATGAATATAACAGCGGACCTAATACCGATCCCTGCGGTACACCACATTCAAGATCACGCCCTAGCGAATCTGTTCCCTCAACACGAACAAATTGTTTCCTAGATATAAGATATGAAGTAAACCAATCCAAAACACGACCCTTTATACCAAATCGCTTCCATAATCGTGTTAATAAGATCGAATGATCTACGGTGTCAAACGCTGCTGGCAGATCCAGTAGAACGAGAATGACAGAGTTTCCATTGTCGAGGTCTTGGAGAATATCGCTTTGAACCCTTAATAATGCTGTTTCTGTACTATGACGAGGCTTATAGGCAGACTGGAACTTCTCATGTAGTTTATTCTCGTCAAGATAATTCATTAATTGTACAGCAACTGCTTTCTCAATAGATTTCGAAACAAATTTCAAATTAGATATTGGACGAAAGCTGCAGAATTCTTCATAGGAAAGACCACACTTTTTTAATAACGGTTTAAGAACAGCAATCTTTAGAGAGTCAGGCATTAAACCATTTTCCAAAGATAAATTAAATATCTCGTTATAATGGGCACGATGTCTTTTAGGCAATGTTCCAGCATAACCGCTGGAATAGGATCTAGAACACATGATTTCATTGCAATCTGTTGAATTAAATCGAACATCTCATTGTTACCAACTTCCTTAAAAACACGAAGTTCATGGGGACATGAATCACCATCGGGAAATGGGTTTTCTATATCATTAATTAAGAGGGTGTCATTGATTTCACCTCGTATTTTAACAATTTTCTGCGTGAAAAAATCACAAAATGAGTTTGCTAGTGACATTGGGTCAGGAGATGATGGATATCGGGTAGGCGTATTTTTGTGCAGCAAATTACTTACGGTCTTAAAGAGAGTTCTTTGATCAGATGACCCATCCTTAATTAAGTCAGTATAGTAAGCCGATTTTGAGGAGTAAATCAGTTTATTCACAACATAACATTGTTGTTTATACAGATTCCTATCAGCATTCATCTTTGTTTTACGCCATTTTCTCTCAAGTTGTCTCCGTTTTCGTTTTTGAACATTGATTTCATCAGTATACCAAGGTGCCTTTGGGCGCAATGTAATTTCCCGGAATTTAGCCGGTGCATGTTTATTTAAGATAGTATGGAGACAGTTATCATATTCACGTACCAATGTTTCCAGATCCATAGTCATAAAATCTTTAAGGGAAGAATTTAGAACATCTGCTTTAAATTTACGCATATCAATCGCCCGCAGATTACGAGAAAGCAAACGTTTCTTCGCAAATTTTGGTTTCCTAAACAAGAGATGTAGATGCACAGCAAAATGATCAGAGATCGAAGGATCAACGATGTCACAATGGTTAACAATATTTTCTTCTGATCGCGTTATTACCAAATCCAGGGTATGACCACCAGAGTGCGTCGCTCCAGAAACGTGCTGCTTCAAGTCAAATGAAGCTAAAAGATCTAGAAACTGCTTAGCAAGAGGGTCATTTGAATTATCCAAATGAAAATTGAAATCTCCAACGATCAAAAGTTGTCTGGGTGATGCAATAATTCCTTCCATGAAAGATGAAAACTCTTCAAAGAATAAAGTGGATGTCAGCGAGTTAGCCGATGAAGGTGGCGGTCGATATACCCAACGTTAGTTTTAAGGATGCTAGAACAGCAAATGTGTATCGATATTTTGACAAAATTTTGTCAAGACTATGCTAGTGGCACGTACCTAGTGGTGTCGTCATCATTTTGAATTGCAAACAAGAAACTGACTTTAGATGCGTGCATTTTAGTCATAGGAGAACGATGGCGAAGAATACGCGCAAAATAAGTTTTATTTAAATGAACAGGGAAGTATTTTTGTCCACTATGGCGTTCCATACATTTGGCTGTACAATGCCTAAAGTATATATATACAACATATGGTTGATTTTAAAAATGTCAAAAAACGACCACGGACCTATACCACCCAAATTTGAACAAAATTGTATTTTTTGCACACTACAATAACTGGGGCTTATCATAAAATATAAATTAGTTTGATCGGAAACAGGGCATTTTTTAACTGTATAACTACTGGGGAATTTTCCCCAGTAGGCCCTGTGCCTGCCCCAGTAGTGAACCTTGATTCCCTGATAGAATGGGCCCTTTTGTCACTGTAAAGGGTTGGTAATTTATCAGTGGTAACATATGGGTCGTGAAATTTGTTCGAAGAAATAAACACCTATGTAATTACGTGAGACATCTGTATGTATAATAGACGATTCCCTTTATTGAGATTTAGTAGCGCTTTGCATCATGGTTATAGTAGTATCTTTGATTGCCAAGCCACATGTAAATTTTTTGTCTACACCTGTGCAAGAGCGTTTGGGAAAGTTAGGGCAGGTGTATAAGGAATGACCAACAACAAAATCGTGAGGAAAACATTGAAACATTTAATATTTTCATTCAAAACTGTCTTGAATGTCAGTGATAACACCATAACCATAATGCAAAGCGCTACTAATTCTTAATAAGGGGAATCGTCTATTACATATTTGTCTTGTAATCGTCTATTACATATTTGTCATGGGCCCTAATACACACTTTACCCCACTAGTCAAAATTCCTTAAAAAATGCCCTGATCGGAAACAATTCTGCACTGAATTTTAATGGCTAAACTTAAGGTTTGCATAAAGTCCCTTTTTGACAAAAACGACCTAAATAAAAACCTATGGATTTTTTAGATGAAAATTGTTTATTCAGTAAATTAATTGTTATGGATTTTGTAATATGAACTAAGGAAGGTATCTATATGGCTCAAAGTATCTATATTCAAATTCTACTCAAGAGGCTCACAGCAAAGAATCATTTTCTTATTCTAACTTGTTGCAGGAAATGTTTTCTTCAAACAAGAATTTTTTTGCTAGGGAGAATAGAGAGAAAAAAAATTCTAACTAAGAATTTGTGCAAGAAAATATTTCTCATCATGAGAAAAATAGATTTCTTGTTTTTAGAAAAATATATCTTATAATAAGAAAAGATAAGAAATTTTTTAGCACTCTTTTTCTAGAAATAAGAAATTATAATTTCTTAATTAGATAAAATTAATCCTGAAATAAGAAAATGTTTCTCCTCATATAAGAAAAAAAAATTATTTCAAGAAAAACATCCTTCTTTTAAGAAAAAGTTTCTTCAAATGAGACAATTTTGACAATTAAAAATAGCTGAAATTCCTATTAATATATGCTTTTATATGAGTAATAATATACATGGATAATTTACTTACAAAAGTTTAAAATACATCTTATATGACTTTAACATGCTGATACAAGCTAAACTGATCATGATGTCTTGTGCCACTTGAGTATCTTTGAAAATTATAAATTGTAGGACTGTTAATTCTATTTCATAATGTTTTGGATAGTCAAAGTTCGATCAACAAATAGATTGAAGCCAGGAAGGCAACAACTGCATCAGATATCTTTTCAGCTGCTGCCCACATCAACATGTTTTTCAACAATAAAGTGAAAACTTTCCTGGTCAATCAGGATGATTGGAAGATTTCCAATTCATTTTCCACAAAATGCTTTGGATCTTCACGGTCGACCTATTTATACAATACAAACAAAATAAATGCTCATATTAACAATTTAAGTTCACATTATAAATTATACCTGAAAGCCATTTGTGAGCTAGCATTTATACATGTTATATTGTTTAATACCTCTGTATAGAGTTATATGCAGCTAATTCATGGACTAGCTAATTCAATTATCCCTAATTTTGAGGACTTTTGTCAGGCAATCACAGAAATCTTTTTTAGGAGATATAGCATGTTACAATTAAAAAGCCTCCTGGATGCTTGGGAGATGGTTATGTTATTGATATTATTGTGATTTACAACAAATTGAATTTTACTATGCAACAGGGGAAAAGTATTAGTTTTATAATGCATTAAAAATCAATGTAAAATAAAAAAAATTAATGTTATAGTTAACATTACACTGGTAAAAAACCTGCAACTTTAAAATAGTCTTACTTTCAAGGCTTTTTTTTTTCCATTTCCAGAAAATTTACTAGTATATCTTTGATATACTAGTATATCTTTGATATATAGTATATCTTTGATAGATATACTAGTATATCTTTGAGCAATTCATATTTCATAGCATATATAAAGCCTGCATGCAGATCTTCATCTTCTACCATGCCAGTTCCTATAAAAAATTGAAATATTTACCAGGGTGTACGACTTTTCAATTGCAATATGTGTGGGGAGAGGATCTAGATACCATGACGCCAGGTCACACAGCACAAATATCGGATAATAAACGTTTACATGTTAACAGTATCTGAGTATAAAAACGCAAATAACATACTAAAATATGATTAAGCTAATTATAAGACAGTCTTAACTCTTAAAAGTGCGATATTTCCTATTCGTAAAATGGGACTTATAATTATTTTTCCAGTGGCAGAATTTTGAGTTCAGTTCGTAACGAATTTAGAGTACGTTCGGTTTAGTGTTTACTATTAAATTGTATCAATACTCAACAAAATTAATACCTTCCAATATCTGCCCGCATTCTTCGACCACACTAGCGATTTGTTAGAGCAAACTGGTCGTTTCTTGATCCATATTAAAACAAATGAATTGAAAAAAATCGATAAATTATCAGCCATCAGTGAAAACGCGTTACACAACAGCGAAGAAAATTTGAAAAGGACGCGCTTCTTACCCACAATGCCTTTAGCAGCGCGATATGTCCCGCACACGAGGTTATGTTGCAAAAAATGCTCCTTTCCATGATAATTTATGAAAGGAGGCGGATATTCGTTCATTGTAGTTGATAATAATTCTACTGTATAGTACTTTTTTATTATAACCCATTCAGCTTTTGTTTTCTTATTATCTTATTCCAAGAAATTATTTTCTTGAAACGAGGATCAGATAAGGCAAGCTTTATTAATTTTCTCATATTGAGAATTTCAGAATTTATAATAATCTTTCTTATGTAAAGAAATTATTTTCTCAGTTTAAGAAAAAAAATTCCAATTCATAAGAATATAATTTCTTGTGTTAAAATCGGAAAATGTGTGGGTTGATTACATTCTTATTTTAAGAAATTACTTTCTAAACGAGATTTTATATCCTAGAGTTAGAAAAAAAAATCTCAGTTAAAGAAACATTTTCTTTACACAGGAAAAAAATCTTAAAATAAGATATATTTTCTCGATAAGAAAATAATTTTTTGCCGCAGATAGCTATTCTGCGGATGTCAGGTAAATATGTGCTGCGGTAATTGAAAAATGGCTTTATTTTGAAAATGTCAAAAAACGACCATGGACATACCACCCAAATTTAAATCAAATTATACTTTTTGTAAACTACAATACCCAGGGTGTATTGCAAAATATGAATTAGTTTGCTCGGAAACAGTTTTGGGTTTTTTTTTACATAGGTTTTAGCAATAGACTAACGTTTTAATTTCATGTCAAATCAAGCAAAACCTCAGCAATTATTTTAGGTACATCTAATGCTTGGATTTGAAAACTAATGCATGCTTTTACATGAAATACATCTTTTAATTGCAAAAGAAAATCACGTGCAATACAGAATTTCCGTCTAATATTTAACATATACAGTCAAAAGTCCTGATGGTAATACATTTTTCCAATGGCAATTCCAATATTTAATTCTTTGTAAAATAAGATGGTATATTAATAAGATTAGGCACTAAAAGTTCTACGAAACGGCAATTTTTGAACACTGATATGTCAAAGGATTACATTTTATCTTATTCATTGTGATCACAGGCAGTTACCTAGCTAAAAAAAACAGTAAAATGATAATCATACAATCCTAACTTCTATATGAACTGCACATAGCGAATTATTGTATAACATTCCACCGTCCTTAATTATTTGGCAAACCGTAAATCCATTTCTTTAGATGATCACATGCTTTTTATTTTCTGTTAATTCTCATAACTTTCCGAGAGTTATGGTTGTGAAAAAGGCACTGAAACACTCGTACTATTTGAAATCCGGCCGCCATGTTTACATGGAATTGCTTCTATCAACTTCCCATGCTGACTCCAGCAATCTGTGAGCGCTCAATACGCGAGTTTGTAAAAAATCTCCTCTTAACATTGCCGCATTGTCTTAACTATATAAAATTTTTTTTTCTTGCAGCTCCATGTGGTAAACGCCACCTGTATGATCTTGCTACACTTAAAAGTCCTCTTTATCCCAGTTACTACCCTAACTCTATAGACTGCAACTGGACTATTTCTGGCACCAATGGATCAAGGATTTTGTTAACGTTTACGTCTTTTTCAGTAGGTCATAATTCAGTACATTTTACTTTAATTCGAATGAGGATATAACAGGCCTTTTATCTTGCAGAAATCACAACGTATAAGCATCATCTAGGTTATGAATAATTTCGAATTGAAACGCTCCAGTGCGGATTTTTCCAAATGAAGATCAATAAATATACTTGTTCGTTTACTATGTTAAACATTATCTGCTCTCTCGTGTTAAAAATCTCAATTGATCATGAAAACACTAGTTTTTTTAAGGTTTCAAATGTTATTAATTCTTTTGATATGCACATTCGCGCTGCTTTCTTCTATCGATCAATTCCGCCAGTGGAATTATAATGCTTTTTATGTACTTTGATATATACGGCCAGCAAAGTTTTTTTTTTACTTTTAGCTGGAAAGACATCTAAGTTGTAATTATGATTATTTGGACGTTTATGATGGTGACTCCCCGAATGCATCAAAAATTGACCGATATTGTGGAAACGAATTACCACGAAGTCTGATATCATCTGGATCACACCTCTTTATTGCGTTCCACTCGGATAGTAGTGAACGAAGACCAGGATTTGTTTTGAATTTAATCTCAAATAAATTTCGTAAGTTTACGTACAGCTTTAACTCTAAGATAACATGACGAACATTGAAAATCCATATACATGGAAACTGTCTGATTATCCAATAAAGTTGTATTATATACCATTTATGAACCGAATTTGATGTCCGTTCCAGGAAAATATCAGACCCAGGTCTTGACAGTACGCACCGAGCGATAGCGAGGTCCGTACATAATTATAAAGACCGAAAAAAGAATTTGTCGGGTCGCATTATTTTCTTCTCTTCCATGTGCCCCACTAATTTTTCTGTCTTAGAAAGTAAGCGTAACAAGGCGTACCTTCTTATCAAGATATTTAACATTACGCATTGTATTAACTATATAAAATATAAATCAGGATTATTATTTCTTTTTTTTAAGGGCACCGCTACGTCGTTAACAACTCCAGCTAATTAACACTCCGTATTTTTTATTAAAAAGTAGCTAGCTCATAAAATCAAATCAAACTTGAACAGAAGTTTTCATTGCAATACATGATTTCTTACTTTTGTTGCAGATCCATGTGGCAAAAGCCACCTGTATGCTCCTGCTACACTTAAAAGTCCTCTTTATCCCAGTTACTACCCTAACTCTATAGACTGCAACTGGACTATTTCTGGCACCAATGGATCAAAGATTTTGTTAACGTTTACATCTTTTTCGGTAAGTCCTAATGAGGTATACATATTTACTTTAATTCGAAAGAGGATATAACAGGCCTTTTATCTTGCAGAAATCACAACGCATAAGCATCATCTATAGGTAATGAATAATTTCGGATTAAAACGCTCCAGTGCGAATTTTTCCAAATGAGGAAAAATAAACATATACTTGTTTGTTTAGCCTACTATGTTAAACATTAATTGCTCTCTCGTCTAAAAATCTCAATTGATCCTGAAAACATTAGTTTTTTTAAGGTTTCAAATGCTATTAGTTTTTTCGATATGCACATTCGCGCTGCTTTTTTTTATCGATCAATTCCGCCAGTGGAATAAATGCTTTTTATGTACTTCGATACGGCCAGCAAAGTATTTTTTTTTACTTTTAGCTGGAAATACATTTAAGATGTGATTATGATTATTTGGACGTTTATGATGGTGACTCCTCGAATGCATCAAAAATTGGCCGATATTGTGGAAACCAATTACCACGAAGTCTGACATCATCTGGATCCCACCTGTTTATTGCGTTCCACTCGGATAGTAGTGAACAAAGACCAGGATTTGTTTTGAATTTTTCAAATAAATCTCGTAAGTTTACGTACAGCTTTAAGATAACATGACGAACATTGAAAAGCCATACATAGAAACTGTCTGATTATTCAATAAAGTTGTGTTATATACCACATATTAACTGAATTTGATGTCCGTGCTAGAAAGATATCAGAACAAGGTCTTGACAGTACGGATGTAGCGATAGCGGGGTCCGCACAAAAAAAACGAGGTCCGTTATTTTTTCCAGTACGGACCGAACGTATTCGGTTAAAAGGGGATTTATTAATGGCATACAGTATTTAGTTTATTTATTTATACTATGCGCTGCAGCATTCTTGCCGGCTCTTTCGCCAACCATTCCCCAAGCAAGCACTGAAGTGGCTTCCTAAACTTTGTTTTTTACTCGTTGAATAAGAATGATAGAGTATGCAGTAATATAAACAACAATCAAAGATGAATAAATATAGTATTCACATGTACCCATAAGAAGCCCAGACAAATGAGTTGAAGTTAATAAAAATCCGTAAAACAGGTGAGATATGTTTTAAAAAGAATTAAAGTATGTAATATGCTACAAAACTATTGTTAGCACCATGTATGTAGCGTTCTCCACTGGCGCTGCCATTTGACTATGGAACTAGTGACGTAACTTATTTTATTATTGGGAAGGATGGAAACTCTTGTCTCAATTTTCAACATGCTGACAAATTAAAACACAAATTACTATAGTAAAACGGCACGCCAACTGCTAAATGCCTACCGTAGGTTTAAGTTAAATAATCAAACTATACTTTCATAATAAAAATAATGCTGAATTCAAAGGAAAGCGCTGGAAAAACGTACACAAACTTTGTAAATTTGCCAAAATTTTCGTGAATACATGCGGGATGTAACTACCTGCCCAAAATGGCGGCGGCAGAAGAATCTGATTGGTCGAGAAAAGTAAACAAAGTATGATCGACCAATCAGATTGGTGGAGAAAGGTAAACAAAGAATGATTGACCAATGAGATTCTTCTGCTGCCGCCATTTTAGGTAGGTAGTTATATCCCGCATGTATTCACAAAAATTTCGGCAAATTTACAAAGTTTGTGTACGTTTTTCCAGCGCTTTCCTTTGAATTCAGCATTATTTTTATTATGAAAGTATTGTTTGATTATTCAACCTAAACCTACGGTAGGCATTTAGCAGTCGGCGTGCCGTTTTACTATAGTAATTTGTGTTTTAATTTGTCAACATGTTGAAAATTGAGACGAGAGTTTCCATCTTTCCTAATAATATAGTAAGTTACGTCACTAGTTGCATAGTCAAATGGCAGCGCCACCGGAGCACGGAACATACATGGTTCTAACAGCAGTTTTGTAGCATATTACATACTTTAATTCATTTTAACACATATCTCAAGTGTTTTACGGATTTTTATTAACTTCAACTCATTTGTCTGGGCTTCCTATGATGTACCGAATAATTATTCGTCCATTCTCCATCGATATTTTTCGTGTCAAAAAGAAAAGTGCAAGCTTGTTTTGGCTCAGAAATACGAGACTTGGACCGTTTCTACAGCAACGGTCTAATGCTGGGGGATTACAGACCGGCAAAGAACCAATCAGCACACCCCATTTAGTCACAAGACCACGTGCCATATATAACAAAAGAAAATATTACTACTATCGATGATCCATATCATTGACTATCATTAAACAAATCCATGTGTTTCCATACTCACGGTCATGTCTCTAACCGTCGCTTAACTACTTATACTCTAAATATACTAAGTTAACTTAGTATCCCCCCTTTACACTACATTGGATTTAACTGCCAAAATTTGGCTGTAAAAACATGAGACGATTAATAAAATAGACATTAAAGCTTTTTTTACACTGTGCACTCAATTTATTGGCACGAGGCGGCTAAAATGGGCACCCGTGCATATTTCTTCCGCGCTTAGCCATTGTTTTGGTGGCCTGAGCACTAATAAAATTGGGCACGGATACCCATTTTAGTCGTGCAGTGCAGTTAATGAATAAAAATTATCGTTATAAACGCGTATAAAGAGTATTTTGACGACTCGATAATTTCAAAAAATGTTTAATCGAAATGTGACATGCACTTATGAGGGGTCGGTTGAGAGACGTCGCTATTTTCAAGACAAGTTGTATCGGTTTGTGCTAAATTTTGAAAGGGGAAAGTTGTGATTTATGGGGGTGATTCCTTTTCTTCTTGTGATCCGCTGCTTTTCATCGCAATTCCACTAAATTTTCTTTTTAAATAAATGTTGGTCACAAAATCATTTTAATCACTCAAAACAAAAAGTTATAGAATGTTTAGTATCAATTCTTTACGCTGCACTACTTGCATCAAATTATAGTGTGCTGATACGTTTTAGGTGGAAATCAAACACAATGCAAGAAGCGAATCGACCTTGGATTTCTATTGGACAGTTCTGGCAGTATCGGGCTGACTAATTTTGATAAAACAAAAGCTTTTGTAAAAGACCTTATTGCCTATTTCAAGATTTCGCAAAATAACACAAGAATATCCGTGATATCATATGCGTCAACGTCAATATTGCATTTCTTCTTTTCTCAAAAATTTCTATCGCCACAAGATCTTTATACAGCAATTGATAACATTTCGTACAGTGGTGGAGGAACTAACACCCACGAGGGGTTGATGCTAGCCTATAAAGATATGTTTAATGGCAAGAATGACGTCCAGTCTCCAGGTTTGTAAACTGTCAATATATGAACGAGGTTTATAATACTGCTTATTATATACAGCGCACATTAATCTATTCTGTTTTTATAGTTATAATAATGAACGTTTTAAAACGTGGTTAATTTTTCTATATCGATGATATGTTTTGTATAGAATCTATTATTATAACCTTACATTCATCAGCGCCGCGATCAGTTCTGTCCTTAATTCGCATATTGCGTGGCAATTGTGTAGCGATTCATACTTTCGAATCAACAAAAAAGTTTTTAAATTGTGTTACGAAATGCGAATATATAATGTAATTTAGCATTGTTAAGAAATAGAAGGTCAATATAGATGAGGAAATTACTTGGGAACATGTCACATAAAATGAAGTGTAAAGTAAATATTATTATGACCCTTCGGAATCACAAAATTACTTTTCCTGCCACAAGTGACAGCCCATGGGATTTCCTCCGAAACAATAGTATGTCGTACAAAGTACAAGTGTCACGACTCAAGAACATAAGTTCTAGGCGGATACTAGTTTATGTCAATCATGTCTTTGTTATATATTGCTCGGTTAAGCACTTGAAGCCTTACGTCACTAAAAGCTTAATTCGATGAAATTATTAGTAAAATAGTTTATAAGTTGAGATACGGTTCACAGAGTAATAAGTTGATAATTGTACTTTAAGTTGATGATAAATATTTTAAGTTGTGAACAAGTTTTAACAGTGATCGATTAAGTAAAAGACCAACTTGACTAGTGCGTCACCGGCCTTAAGTAAACAAAGTATGAGAGCTGAACCGAGCTTCTAACGCCAACCCACACTTACAACCTACAACGCTGATTGGATTGTGTGAATCACATCACCTTGCACAGGGCGTCTCCAAGATCCCCTCAAATTTTATTATAAAAGGAGGCGCTCAGCAACAGAACAGTCAGTGGACTAGCGGAGTAAAGATTAACTTATGAAACGTTAAGAAGCTCAACGACAGAACTGACGAAGAAGACAAGAACAGAAAACAACGAGATCCGAAAGGACGAATAATCAGAAGAGAAGAGAAGAACGGAGTCAGAAGAGAACATTAGTGAACTTTAGTAAAAGCTTGTACAAGATCTCCTACCTCGCGTAAATACAAATAAAAGTTACTTAACAATTGCTTTGAAATTATAATGTTTTTCCTACGCTTTCTGTATTTATTAAAACCTTCATTTAAAACAAATGTAACCACTTATGAATGCGCAATATCTTAGCATTTGCCTTCTACTCCCCCCCCCCCCTCCTAGTTCCGTAGGAAGCACGATAATTGGCGTATGAAGCACATATTTATGCTGCCCAAATTTACGTGCTTGCCTTAAAAAAGTCCTAATCTTCACCATCAGAAGGAGCATTGTGAAATGTCTGTTTAAAGTGCCTGTATCACTCGTTGGATCTTTATGCATTTGAAAAGAACGTAAAAAGTTGGCTAACATATTTAAAACGTTTTTTGATTCAGTGCAATAATTTCGAAGATACAAGCCTCTAAACTACCTGCGGTTCCAGAGTCCCAATCTCCTGGGTTTAAACACGGCTATTTAATTTTAAACTGCACATTGTTTACAGGAGCCTGGGACTCAAGAACTGCAGGTTGTTTAAAGGCTAGAATCTTCAAAATTATTACACTATTTCAAAAAACATTTTTAATATATTAACTAATTTTCTACATTCTTTTCAAATTCATAAGAATTCCACGAGTGACATAGGCACTTTGATACAAACGTTGATCAACCACAAAAAGTGGTATGTATTAATTAAACATGAGAAAAAATCAGCTAGTGGTTTTTAGAAACCCCTTAGGTATATAAATTGATAACAGAAAGATTTCAAAGTAACAACGTCCATATTATTGTAATTAAAAAGTGGGAGGCAAATGATGCACATATTTCACGGTGCATGACGAATATTGTATGATAGATGATAGATAGATAACTTTATTAAAGGTGTAAATTAAAATATAGCAGTACTGAAACCACTAAATAAGGACACAACAGAAAAATGAATAAATACTATACTACACTAGTTAAAATGATAAATATGTTTAAAAGTAATATTAAAAATTTAGTTGATTTAAAATATATACAGTATTTCCAATTAAAAATAGTTATGACTGATATGTACATGTACAGCAGCTCTCACAGCTGTTGCCATTTAATAAATCAGTTAGATTTAAGCGTCTAACGGCTTTTTTGAAACATGGCAATGAGGTTGATGATCTTACTCTAGCTGGTGATCTTACTCTAACATTATTTGATATTTTACGTTACGTATATCGCTGTATGACCAGTAGGGATGAAATTACAATAGCGACAGCCATCCTGCCACTATAATTTCAGGAAATGTATTGCTTTTTAGAAAAAAATGAATGTTACAAATGCGATAAGCAAGCGTCGTGTATTAATACTAATGGCACGCTGCACTGCTCTTGCAACAACGGTGTCACTGGAAATGGATCTTCATGCACAGGTCCGTTCCTCTGTAATCTTTAAAAACCTTCATTTCAAACAAAGCATGTAACCACTTATAAATGCGTCCTATCTCCAATATCTTAGCATTTCAGTTTAGGTAGGGGCCCCCAAGTTCCGTAGGAATCACGGAAATTGGCGTAGGTAGCAGATATTCGTATACTCGTGTTAAAAGAATTGGAAAAAACGATCAATTTGAAAGAAATTAAAAGTAATTAATCTCGCACAATATGAATATGAATATATGCTTTCTAATTTTCATGCTTCCTACACCACCGATCCCGCTCACCCAATTTCTAAATGACTTTTTAAATCGTAGCTAGCTAATCTGCCTTGTATGCCGGCCAATATCCTATCCGAAGAGGAAGAAAAACGTGGAAAAGTGCTTGTGGCATATTTCCCACCACTTTATTCTTGTTGATTTTTTTAGAAACAAAGAAAATTTTGATTGTTTTTACGGATGGCCAAATTCATGAAAGTTTTGAACAACCTTCGCAAGAACTAAAAAACATTGGTGTCGTAATATATTCAATTGGAATTGGATCTGGAATCGATGTCTCGGAGCTGGAAACAATGGCTTCTCCCGCTTCAAAAGATCACGTGTTCCTTTTGCGAAACTTTTACGAATTATCTGCTTTGGAACAAAATATATCTTATTCGGCTTGCAATGGTAATTTTTGGAATATGTTCAGACTGATAACTAATATATGGAAAATAGTTTCTAGTTTATATTGTATAGATGCCCTCTCTGAGTATATTGTATAATCCCCAGTGGAAAATCTGGACATTGATAATGCAAGTCATTTAAATGATAAGATATTTTGACTTCACCGCACCTATAGTATTTTGATTTGTAGCGAATGCACATATAAACAAAGACATTAATTCTTGCAGTGGCGTATCGGACGAAGATGAGGCCCTTAGGTATATTGGGTGTGGGGCCCTAGTTGTTTGTCATGTTTTTTTCTTTTGAAAAATAATTTGAGAGCTGAAGCTTGTAAATTTACATTAGTGTATTACTTCATTAGTTCGAGCTTTTATCATACACTACAGAACTGATTCATATATAATCATGTTGATAATGAATGATTTTGTAACTTAATAATTGTAGATAAGAAAAATGTAAACGTCAAAGTGTTTAATACCAACCGTCTTTTTTCAGCCTATTTGGCCCCAGATTTGTACTTTCGTTTTCCAGACATTTTGTTTTAAATACAAAATTTAGGACGCGCAGAACTTCCTGTAAGAATTAATAAGAATAACTCTGTTATGTTCGCTATGGAAGTAATAGAGCATGGATAATAGAATAGAAAATTCAGCTATGGCCGATGGATGCTCTATTATTTAATCTACCATCATTATTGCTGCATTTTCCTTTGCAATCAACCTCATACCCTGGACCTATCTTTCGCATAACAATTTTTTTCTGTGATACACTGACACGTCGTTTTTTTTTCTTTTCTTGGAGGCCCTTAGATCTTGTGCTAACCCTATACCTTACGTTCGTTACGCTACTGGGTTATATTCATTTACGAAAGGAAGGAATTAATTTTAATTTCAATTATTTTTTAAAGTAGTTTTAAATAATTTTACTATTGCATTCCAGATGATTATGAATGTTACCGCTGCGGTATTCATGCATCGTGTCTCAAAACCAATGGCTCGCTTCACTGCATATGTAACGTTGGTTTTGTTGGAGATGGATATTCATGCACAGGTACGGTATAATCAAAAGCTAAAATTCACGCAAGAATTTTTTCCATATCTACTAAATATCTTATATTTATACAAAATTGCATGACGTTTGTATTTGTTGCTGATCTTATATTTCAGATGTAAATGAATGTCAAAATGGAACTAACGTTTGCAATCGTAATGCGTCGTGCAACAATACAATTGGCTCTTTTAACTGTCTTTGCAACACCGGCTATATCGGTGATGGAATAACATGTACGGTATACGTAGATAAATATTTGTTTAACTTAAATATAGTTTTATAAATCTCAAATATGCATGTATTTCAAATGATTTTGTATACGGTGCAAACCTCTCAAAACCCATCCCATCCAGTTCCTGTGTTTTTGCGCTACGGAGCATTTCTTGCTGCCACTTTGAAAAATCCGCTTGGGACACTTAGGTGATAATCACGTAATAATCTGAGGTCGCTCGACCAATCAGCGGCCAAAATTTTTATTGATCACTTGTTTAATAATACTAAATAAACATTAGCGGCCAAAATTTTTATTGATCACCTGTTTTATTATACTAAATAAACATTAATCTATTAATTATCCCCATAATAACCATCTAGAGACGAGTCTGCATCTTTTAGCGTTTCGAAGGCCACTACATGTAACTGTACTATTAGTGTGTTGTTTTAATGCCTAATGCCGTTATCTATACGTTTTACAGGTAGAAACGTTACAATCTGCACGAAAAAGATCGACCTTGGATTTTTAATGGACAGTTCTGGCAGCATTCGACGTTATAATTTTGAAAATACCAAATCGTTTATAAAACATTATACGGATTATTTCAAAATTTCTCAAAACGAAACAAGAGTGTCGGTGATAACGTACGCGACAAAGCCAACATTACATTTTAGATTTTCTCGAAAATTCAGGACCCGACGGGATCTTTATTTGGCAATAGATAACATCACATACAACGGAGGGGGAACGAACACCGCGAGGGCTTTATCAGAAGCATATATAGATATGTTTGATACCCAGAATGGTGCTAGGATTTCAGGTATTTGATCATTTGATTTTCGAATTATCAATCCTTTTTTATTTTTTTTAAATCGCGTGCTACCATTATATTTAAGCTTGTCTTACAAATATATAGCTAGGTTTTAAAAAAATAATTCCGATACAAATTTCAATTTTTTTTTCTTGTTTTCAATTTTTTTTCTTGTTTAGTTTTTAGTTTTGAATCATAAACTATATTACTTAAATCATGATAATATATATTTCGAGAAACGAGACGTTCAAAAGAGTGTTGACTATCTACTTCTAATTAAAGATATTGGAATCGCGCGACCAGGATTGAACATAACAGAAAATTGAAACATTCTCTGGTTGTAAATATTTCATTTGTAACAATCTTTCGTCTGCCAGACTGCAGACTTCAACAGGTAGCCAAAAATACAACGACTGACAACAAATACCTATACGGTTTACATGCCTAGGGCTGATATTTACAATATGACAGAACATACAAATAAAAAATATCAAATTCGCCTACATATAACTCTAACAACTATGTGTAAAAAGTTCTATTTCTTCAATAAAAACCGGCATTAATATTGTGCGAGAAATGCCCGGTATGCCACCACTCAAGTGTCGCTCTATTTCGGTAATATGATTAGCAATATTTGAGCCTATTTTATGTGTCACGAAATTCTTGATGTGTTCTGTCTTTCTAGTGATGAAATCCCGCCCTGTCTCACTGATGTAATTTGTCTGCTTTTCAGGTTATCATCTGTCTTTCAGTGATTTGTTGAAGCGTGCGTAAAGGTTTATTTGGGACTCCTATTCCATATTGTTTAAGGAGCCGTTTGAGAGGTTCTCTTAGTCCTTTGACGTATGGTAGAGTAGTGTAGTCAACATTTTTGCATGGCTCAACGTTTCCAAAAAACTCACGAACAAGCTCTTCAGGTGATGTAGCTACCTTATTATTGCGCCCGTTTCTTATATACCTCTGTCAAATTCTATTCCTGCCAGAAGAGCTTGTTCCTGAGTTCTTTTAAAGAGTGGTACCATGCAGAAATGTTGACTACGCTACTCTACCATACGTACTAACAGAACCTCTGAAACGTCTCCTAAAACCATATGGGATCGGAGTCGCAACAAAACCTTTACGAACGATTGAACAAATCATCGAAAGACAGAACATCGCCTGAAAAGCAGACAAATTTATTTATTGCATAAATTGCGCTGACTGTCCGTGGAGTAACATCGTCGAGACAGGGCGGGCTTTCTTCACAAGAAAGAGAAAACACATGAGGAATGTCATTAAGCTTAATTAAAATAGGCTCAAATATTGCTCTGCATGCTTGGTGTTACGACTTTGATAACAGCCCAGTTATTGACAAAGCTATAACTACCGACATAGAGCGACTTGATTCGTAGCATACCGCACTCACAACTAATACCGACAATAATGTTAAGCATTTACGCGATCAATACAAATATTTGTTGAAGAAATAAAACATTTAATTTTACACTGTTCTTAGAGCTATATGTATAGGCGCATTTGATATTAGTTGTTTGTTTCTGTTATATTGTAATCATCAACCCGTAGGCGTGTTTATGTAATTGTAGCTAAACCGTAGGTATTTTTGCAGTTGCCGTATTTTTAACTATAACCGTTGAAGCCTGAAGGCTACAGTCTGGAAGCCGAAAGCTCGTTACAAATTAGATATTTACAACCAGAGAACGTTTCAATTTTTATTATTTACTAATATTTTATAGCAAACTGCAAATGGCCAGGCTTTAGTACAAAAGTTCATTTTATTAAATTGTATCCGGGAGCATAACTCTACCATTTGGCACCAGCCATCAAATCCTGTGTCACACAATCACTGTGTTTCGCGATGGGACGAAAGGGATAAAATATATTAGCCTGATAACAAAATTTAGAAAAAATCGTTGTCATATACATATAACGTATTAACCGAAGACAGATCAGTAAACGTAGTTGTTGCAAATCTTCCGTATTTTTCTTCTTATGCTTGCTAATCATATTTAGGAATAACGAGAATTTTAATAGTTTTGACTGATGGCAAAAGCACTGGAAATGTTCATTATCCTTCTCAACAACTCAAAAACATGGGTGTCGTAATATTCTCAATCGGAGTTGGTTCAGGAATCGATATTTTAGAGCTCGAAACAATGGCTTCCTCTCCTGCAAAAGACCGTGTGTTCCTAATCCACAATTTCAATGAGTTCGCTGATTTGGCTCACAATATGTCATTTGATACTTGCAATGGTATGTTATTAACATCTGTTATGCATTAAATAGAATTGGTAAAATGGTATTATATCTCCCATTCATAAAGTGTTAAAATTAAACGGACCCCTTTCTGTTACAGGCAACACCACAAACATCACGCGAGGTAACTTTTAAAAATAATTTTATTATGTCTAGTAATTTTAAAAAACTATATAGAAAATGGGTAAAAAATATTTCAGTCATGGGTGTTTCAGTAAAAGTATTTAACTGAAGGGAATGGATTAAATATCACCGAAGAATGAATCCGGTATAATTTTTTTTTCTTTTTTTTTTGATTTGTCTCCACCACATCAGGTCCCATCACACGAAGTCGAGGTACCATATGATAACTCATGTAGTGAGTAACTTTCAAATATACCTTTTCACCTAAAAATTCCATCCAGCTTCATATTCGCCGCAAGTAGAGTTTTACCCGTTCTACTTTCCTTTTTTTTTCTTATTCAGGTTTATGTGGAAATACTTCACTTCATACTCCTGGCAGACTCACAAGTCCTTTATATCCTTACTATTACGCCAGAGACACGGATTGTACTTGGATTATTTCTACAACCAATGGAAAAGTTATTTTAGTGCAATTTTTATTCTTCTCGGTACGACACATTTAGCTACGTTCGTAATAGATCTTTTCCAACTTCCATAGTAGGTATATTATTTTTGCCCTAGCCTTAAAACCTAGCTTTGCTGGGTTTTCCAATTTATTAGTATTTTTATTGCGAGTGCGCAATAAATGTCGATGATAATAACCTAGCATTTTTTGTCCATAAAGAAATAATGATAAATAACAATGATCACTCTAAATTCTAAAAATAACGTTATTCTTAAGAAATAATCTTCTCTAATATCTTCGCCTATTATTCCTAACTATTTCCACATAAAACAAAATTTCAACCAAACTTGTTTTTAAATCTACTTGTTTCCCAATTACAAATAACGCATGCTAATTTACAAAATTGTAACAAATTTTCACCTTGTCATCTTTTCCTGACCACAACGAAATGATTGAAAAAACAAATCAGTGAATAACTTCAGCCTCATCCATTTTAAAATGTCAGGGGCCGTGGAGTATCCTTGATTGACGGCGCCAATATTTATATATTCACGTTTATTTTATAATTGATTGTATTCCTGTTCTGCATGTTCACATGCATGAATATATGAATATCATCCCTCCTCCCCCTCTCGGCTTCTTTTGTCCTGTTGTTTAATTTTCTGTAATATCTAGCCGTATCACATTACTTCTATATGCATATGTTCTTATATGTTTCTAATACATGTATTAAACATAAAACCCACGCCAAAGAAATATTTTCCTGGTACATTAAGCAGATTATGTACTCTCGTAACTTTTGTATATATATATATATATATATATATATATATATATATATATATATATATATATATATATATATATATATTATAAATAAATATTATAATATAATATATAATATTATAATATATATATATATATATATATATATATATATATATATATATATATACAAAAGTTACGAGAGTACATAATCTGCTTAATGTACCAGGAAAATATTTCTTTGGCGTGGGTTTTATGTTGATATGATATATGAATAATCGTAACGAATTTAGAGTACGTTCGGTTTACAATAAAATTGTATCAATACTCAACAAAATTAACCTTCTAATATCTGCTCGCATATGATAAGTGATAGAAACTATCGTGATTACGGTACTAACGCATACAAAATCGTCTGGACAGAGTGCTCAATGCTTGCGCAGAGAGATATAACACGGGATGAGAAACACGAGTTACTTAATACGAAACAGTTCTGTAGTAAATACAAGTACGATCGTACTATAATGGACCAGGAACTGCGTGACCGAGTTTCTGAACTGCATTGTATTTACAACAAATAGAGGACAATGTATTTCTATAATCGTTTGCGTATTCTTATATATAGGCTGAATATTAATGATATATAGGCTGAATATTAATGATATTTATATATATTATTTGCTGCACATATAGTCAAGAATTGCTTGTAACTTGCTTCAACGGTCAAAAGTAAAAATTCGAACTCCGTCAATCGATGCGGAATATTGGTTAGAATAATTGTGCCAAGTTGCATTCCGATCAAACAAGTAATGATAGAGCCTTAGGGTTTTTTTAAAGAGCGTCGCCCCCTAACAACAACAACAACAACAACAACAACAACAACAACAACAACAACAACAACAAACACAACAACAACAACAAAAACAACAACAACAACAACAACAACAACAACAAGATTAGCAGCGGTTAGGGACCAAAAATTGGATGAAGTAACTCCTGTTTCTCATCCTGTGTATAAATATATACATTTTTAATTTCCCGGTACAAAAATAAATATAATTGTCTTTTTTATCTGTGCAAAAACTGAAATCATTTCATGCTTTGTCAAATAATATAGTTTGTAAAATTCATATAATGTCAGTTAATATTTAACACGTAAATTTACTGATTGAGCTACAAAAAAAATTTAAATGGTGGATTTACAAATTCGTCATGAAATTTCTTAATTTATAGCTGGAAATCGGTTCGAGTTGTCGACATGATTATTTGGACGTTTATGATGGTAATTCTACGTCTGCAGAACAACTGGGGACATTCTGTGGGGAGCAATTGCCAAGAAATTTTTTTTCAAGTAGTTCAAAGCTCTTCTTCGTATTTCATACGGACAGTAGTGTTCAGCAGCAAGGGTTTGTTCTCGACTACACAAGCAGAAATGGTACGAAATGGTTTAGGTTTATTCCCTTGTACAGCTGAAGTTTTTTACCATTATAGTCTTATATTTTACTTCAACTTTATCTTCATGTCATGCATTCTTACATTACCTGCAAATTTCCCAGGTAAAAATTCGCCATATTCGTTTCTACGAGTGCTTTCTATACTGGAGAACGGAAATTCTGGGGATGAATTTTTAATATTATAGCATCCAAGCTATAACGTGTTATATTTTCTTATATTATTTATAATTTCCTCTTGCCTTAGGCGGGTAACATAGGCATTGAAATTTCTTATCCTATAGTTGAAAAATTTCTTGCACATTGTCTGTAATCATTTGATATTACTAATTGTCAAAAATGGATAGCCTTTATAACTGGAAAATCTATTCTGACCAAAGAACGGGTTCCTTGACTCTTATGCGAAAGCTGTGTTGTATTTTAAACTTTAGCTATTTGAATGCCACGGTTCGTTATTTCTGCAGAGAAGAATGTGTGATGACGGATTTTCGAAGAATTTTGGCTACTTAAACCACAAAAAATGAATGCTGAAAATAGAACAAAATTAATTTAATCGACTATTATTATGAAAAACTAGCATGTAAAGTTTTATCCGTTCTACTTAACTTTTTTTCTTATTTAGATTCATGTGGAAATACTTATCTGCATACTCCTGGCAGACTCACAAGTCCTCGTTATCCCTACGTTTATCCAAAAAACACGAACTGTTCTTGGGTTATTTCTAGTGCCAATGCAAAAAATGTTTGGCTGCAATTTTTACTCTTCTGGGTATGCCATTCACATTTAGCTGCCTCCGAAATATATCTTTTTTAACCTCCATGGTATGGGTATATTATTTTTGCACTATGAGTGTGTGCGTGATAAACTTCGTCCAAGATTATGATCAAGCAAACTTTGTCCAAAAAGAAATATTCTTTCAAATAATGAGGTTTTCAATTGTGGGAATACAAATTATTCATGAAATTTCTCTATTTATAGATAGAAGACAGTTCAAGATGTCAACATGATTATTTGGACATTTATGATGGCAATTCTGTGTATGCGAAAAAACTGGGGAGGTTCTGTGGGAAGCACATACCAAAACCTCTGGTTTCATCTGGTTCAATGATCTTCATCGTATTTTATACCGATTATAGCATTCAGAAACAAGGGTTTGTTCTCAACCACAGGGACACAAATGGTATGAAATTCTGACCTCAGAACGGGTTTTCGACCCGCTGTATTATTATTTTGAACTTTTGCTATTTGAATGCGACGGTTCGTTATTTCGGCAGAGAAGAATGTGTGATGACGGATTTTCTGAAAATTTTGGTGACTTAAAGCAGGAGGAAACGAATGCGGAAGATATAGCAAAAAATTATTGGAATATTAGTTTTAAACTACTAATGTACATTGTTTTATTGCCTTTAAAGATACCAATAATTGTACTGGAGCTTCATGTGGTCCCTATGCAAACTGCGCACATATTAATGGTTCGTACATTTGTGTTTGTAAACCAGGATATAAAGGAAACGGAACAAACTGTACAGGTATTACAGCCACCTAGTTATTTCTATATCAAGTTCCATTAATATACGTTTTGTTTGTGGACTGATTCTATCATTAATTTTTTTGATGCCCTGTGTCCAAAACAACTGAAAGACCGTAAGAGATTTCAGGATTTGAAGCATTATTTCACTATTCACAGCACAAGTGTATAGTGTACATTGAACAAGTTTCTGGAGTGTGGGAGGAAACCGAAAGTTTTTTTCCAAATACGAATTTGAGATTTCGGTGCATGACGTAGCATGGTTCTTTTTTTTTTGCGATGGACAAACGGATCTTATTGAAGGACAAACCGGGTTCCTACGCATTTCTCACGCCTTCAGACTTTCCTGAATAACATTATTATATGCATGCATGGTTAAAAAAGCTAATTGCATGGTTTCAAAATAAAAGCGTAGGATACGTTGTATATAGTAAACCGCATAAATTAGGAATTGAAATTTGTCGATTCTTCATACTACAGCAATATTAATCCATTTTAGATTAATCACTCTTCCGTTTCATTTTGACACTTCAATAATTTCTTCACCATTGTTATATAAGTTTTATTGGAGATAAAAGTTTAATCGTTAATCACAAATATATAGCAGAAATTCTATCCTCACTGTTATTTTCAGGGTGTTATTTTAACACCACTTTTAAGGGATTCTAGGGGTGTAATAGGGGTGTTAAAAAATTCCAGCTAAATAACTCCATAGTTGGATTTAAAATAACACCACGTAAGGGGGTTACGCGCAATGTAACACCATTTTGGGGGTTAAAATAAGTACATTACACCACGTGATCAAGCTGATGCAATCATGCAAAACGAGCTATTTTTCAAAACCTTCGCAAGCACTGCTGGTTCCACAAGAGAATTGCCTGTGTTTTGATAAATTACGACTAAAACCGAAATAAACGAGAAAGAGTCAAAGAAAGATTGGCAGATTTGCTGTATGCAGTTGAAAACGGCCATGTACGTGTTTGAATATCATTTTCATGCCTCTCGGAGTGCGACTGTTTACCTGCCGATTGTGGATATAAATTAAACTGCAGTTCGTGAGCTAAATTCCCTGTCTCAAGAAAGTGTACAGTTGCTCAGCTATCCAGGATACAAACACAATTGCGCTGGAGAAAAGTGTGTAATATATTTTCAATATCTCTACAGAAAAGCTTCAGCAAGTGTCGACAAAATAATTCAATACAAAACTAATGTAGGTTGGTAAAAATATCTTAATATGGAACAGTTGACATGAAAAACATTTGTCATATTCTCATAGTCTAAAGGAAAATAAGGACTTATATGAATTAAATATATTTAATAATAGGATGAATATAGGTATTATATAGTGTAATATATCCTAAGGTATGTAGGCAACTTCAATCACCATATCGAGATGTACACATGAAAACAATCCGAAAATATGTCAATTAATACCTAAAACTGATCTAAAATAACAAGTGAAATGAAATCTACAATATTTTTACTATATACTGCCTATGTTTTAACTTTGAAAACAAGTTATAGAAGCGAGAAAAATGCGAAGTTTTTGATATTTTACTCATTTTTTAAATTAGCCGTTGCTGGACCCGCGCTGTTGACGTTTGAAAATGATGAATTCGTAATCTCATTGGCTGTCACAACAGCGAGAATAAAAAACAGCCAATGAGGTTACGAATTCGTCATTTTCAAACGTTCTTAAAAGTCTACAGCGCGGGTCCAGCATCGGCCTATTCCAAAAATGAGTAAAATATCAAAAACTTTTCGCATTTTTCTCGCTTCTATAACTTGTTTTGAAAGTTAAAACATAGGAACTATATAGTAAAAATATTGTAGATTTTGTTTCACTTGTTATTTTAGATTAGTTTTAGGTATTATTTGACGTATTTTCGGATGGTTTTCATGTGTACATCTCGATATTGTGATTGAAGTTGCCTACCTTATGATATAATTTGTAAAGTTTTTAGAATGCCTTTGTTTGTTCTTTAAAAGAAAAATGTTTAGATTTCTGATGATTTATTATACGAAACTTTAATATGAAGTTGTATTTATGTTGTAAATATTGTAGATTGGATATAAAGTAATAAAATTTTGCTCAAATTTTTGTATGATTCTTTATTTCTTTCCGGATATTATAGCGGGATCCTGAAAACGGGGTTATTTTAACCCCAAAATAGGAGTTAAATGTAACTCCCAAAATGGGGATTAAAATTTAACTCCAGAAACGGTGTTATTTGTAACCCCAAAAAAAGGATTATTTTCGATTAAATCTCGTAACCCCTGTTTTTGGTGTTAAAATAACACCCTGAAAATAACAGTGCTGTAGTAGAAATAAGAAATATCAAAGCCTTAATTACCAAAATGAATTTTATACATCTCCCTTTAGATATCAATGAATGTCAATCAAATCCCTGCAATGAGAAAGCAATTTGTGGCAACATTGCGGGTTCGTATAATTGTACTTGCCATGTCGGTTTTGAAGGCGACGGAAGGAGGTGTACAGGTACACATTATCAGTGGCGAAGTCAGCCTGCATGACGATTTATTCATGCTACGCAAGTTTTATGTTATTATCATTATGTATTGATTTCTTTAGAAATTCATTGTTTTCACAGTCAATGAACACCAAAATATTAGTATAGCATGACTAAATTGTCTGGCTGGTTACGCAACTGCATATTATGAACAAAAACTACGATTATCATAGTGCATAACCAGAAAAAGTCGCTCTATAATGGATGTCTAAGCCGGGCGTCCTTGTAAGCTTAATAAGGATATAAAATAATTTAGTGCATTAGGTGTAAGATGTGCAAACTCTGCTCAATATGAAAAATTCCTATTGAGTAGAGTTTGCGCTCAATACGAAACACATTGACATTAATTTCAATAATTTAAATGTTAATCAAATTATTATTATGCCTTGAGAAAATATTAGCAAGAGAAACTATTATCAGGTACACATTATCATGCAGTGGCGAAGCCAGCCCTGACGATTTATTCATGCTATGCAAGTTTTATGTTATTATCATTATATATTCATTTCTATCATTTCTTTTAAATATGTCAAAGATGGCTTATCTAACAGTAAAATATCTCTGGCTTGTATAACAGTAAAAACTGGCGGAAAAATTAACCTCGAAAAGTGGGAGAACAGTTTGTAATACCCTCATTTTTAACCGCTTGTGCAAAGAAAACGAGAGAATGAAAATCCAAGTTCATTTAGAGAGGTGAAAGTTTGGACTCTTGCGCAATGAATCACAACCTCATTTTATTCGCACAAACGGTACCGGTTAAAAATGAGATTTTTACAAATCGTTCTCCCGTTTATCGTTTTTTCCAATACACCCTGTATAATCATAAAAAAGGCTGTTGGTTGTGCACTGGCGTAGCCAGCGTGACAATTTGGCAATGCTATACAAATTTCAAGTCATTAGAGTAATTAAATTCTTTCAAAATTCATTGTTTTCACAGTTAATGAAAACCAAAATATTAGCATGACTAAAATTGTCGGGTTGGTTACGCCACTGTGGTCATGTAATATTTGTTTTCACTCTAACAATCATATACTAAAATATATACTTCAATTAAACCCAGAACTACGGCAGTGTGGCGCCAATTCTGTTTGCAACACCAAAGACGATCCTGTAAATTGCCTGCTGCTAAATCAAACAGTTCGTTGTAAATGCGATGGAAATTTAATTGGAAATGGAACGCATTGCATGGAACCAGTGAATGGTAAGGAACCTATAATTTATAATTGTTTTGATTGTGGGCTTTGTCTGAAATAAACCAAGTTGTTGTTCAAGAAAATTTCCGTGATGTTTTCGACGACGAAATTTACAACTAAAATAATTATATCAATAAAAAACTTAACTCCATTTGTAACGGCACGGTGTTGCTACTGGTCCAAGTGAATTCGAATTAGAAATTTCAACTTCAGTTACATTTTTATGTTTATTATTCTATTGTTATGTAAATTTCAATCCAACGCATGTATATAAAAGAGCCTAGTATTTAGTAATAAATTGTTAGTCAATTGAAGCGTCTACTGGTGTGAGAATATAACAACTGGCGACGAGGATATTTCAGATACTTTCTGATGGAGAATGAAGAAGGGCATGATGTGGTCCAGCCAAATGTTGGTTTTAATCTGTCGTTTATGGGGCATATGGAAGAATATTCGCCGAATACCAACTGGAAGCAGTACGTGGAACGGTTGGAAATATTTTTCGAAGTAAATAATGTACCCGCGGATAAACAAGCTGCTAGTATACTTACATTACCTTAATGGCTAGTAATATGTATACTTTGGTTAGATTAATTACAGGACTGAGAAGACCAAAAGAACTAAAAGAAGTTGTGGACATTTTGACCCAGCATTTGGAGCCAAAACCGATAGTTATTGCCAAGCGGTATAAGTTCTAAAGGGTGAACAATAACCGTCTGAATCGATAAGAGATTACCTCTCTAAGCTACAAAGATAGGCCGAGACGTGTGATTTTTAAGGCTATCGGGATGAAACGATTCGAGACCGATTCGTTTGTGGGTTGAAAAGCCGGGCGATTCATCGCAAGCTACTTGGGAAAGCAGAATTAACTTTAAAACTAGCCGTGGAAAAAGCTTGTACAACAGAATTAACCGACCGAGAAACATCTGCATTGCACGGAGAAGACAATAACAAGCTCGAAACAAAAGAGAGTTTTCGATGTGGGAAAAACAATCATGTTCCGATGAGTGTTTTTTTCGCAAAGCAAAATGTCGTGGGTGTCAAAATATCCGTCATATTGCTAAGAAATGTCCCGAAAGACCTGACCACAACGACTGTAAGCTTGCAAAATCGAAAGGTTAATTATTATTACTCTCGTGCAATGCTTCTTCATAATATAACTTTGGGTACGCGATTCTTAACGCTCCAACAAGTTCTGCTAGAGATTTAGGAAGTGCAGACCACACTGGAGGCGTATTCCAATTGAGATCTAGATCTCAATAGATAAATAGATAAATAAAAACAATATCTGTTG